TAGCTATATAGACACGTCATCTTGAATTATATTTTAAAATTATTATTAACATGGGTAACTAACATAAACATTATCATTGACTTTTAAAAGAAATACAATTATTAAAATTATTATTAATTTTTTTTTTTTAATTAATCCTGGCTTGACTTGTTATGTGGCTAGGTAACATACTAAAATGTTCAATCTGTTTGTACTATGCACACTCAGCAAAAAATGTCCTGCGCACGCCTATGACTTGTAGTTTCTTTGATTTAATATAGTTAACAATCACAATTTATATTATATTGGAAATTAATTATTTTCTATTGATGATTTGATTTTTTTTTTAAATTAAATAATGGAAACATCATTATTTCGGTAAATAAATTAATAAATACAGCATCCACTTATAACAAGTTTTATATTTAAAATATAAAGATCACAGAATATTAACACGGCGTTTTGTTTGTCAAAATTCATAATATTAAAATAATCAACAAAATAATATTTATTATTTAAATCTTAGAATTATTCAAAATTAATAATTATTAAAATATTTCATAAAGACTGAAAAATCATACTTTATAATAATATATTTTGTATTTGAATACAAATAATATGTAGACATACAGTGAATACCACTTTTTATAATATATGTTTAAAATCATACTATTTTATTAGATTTATATCTAAAAAAAATGTATTATATATATTTTATTTCAGATTGGTGATATGAGTTTACCAGAAGTAAATGAAATTGAATTAAAGTTGGACATTGCAAAACAGACAATCCTTGTCGATAAAGTAACATAAAAAAAATATATACAGTTGATACTATTTATTTATATTTTATATTAATAAAAAAAAGTAAATAAATTGTGTTTCTATCAACTCATTCGGCAATCATTAAACTCATCAGATAACGGATCTATTCCATATTGATCACGTATAGTGGCCAAGTCAATACTGTCAGGTCCATATTGCGCAGTTCTTCTCATATTACGCAATATTACTTCAAACGGATCAGCCATCATACGTCTTTGGTTTAACATAGCTGTTGTGCTATATTGTTTTATTATACATGTATTATCCACATCCTATAACATTGCATTAAATGTTTGAATTTAATTTTAAGCATAGTTTTTAATTTTTTTAATGGTTTTACATCTGGCAATGGACTCCATAATTTGACTTCATTATCAATGCCACTGGTTGCCAAYAAAAATTCTGAAGGATGTGGTTGTATACAATTTACGATTGAACTATCCCCTTTCAGTATGAGCAAATTATTCTCTGTATTTTTTTCCCATATAAAAAATAAACCATCGTCAGAACCAGCTACTATGAATTGATTATGGCTATAAAATTAATAATGTTAAAAAATTAATTATAATAACAATAACAACAATTTCACCTTCCAAAAAAGTTGGCTTCTTTGATGTCAGTAGATGTATTACAATGACCACAATATCTGCGATCGTAATCTTTAGCCTGATTACGAAAATATTTCTCAATATTTATCTTTTGGGCTTGTTCAATATGTGATGCATCTGGAACATTTGATATAGAATCAAACATATCACGGGGTTTTTTTCCTAGATAGAGAACACATACAATTATAAATAGTTTACACAATACACAGAAAACTAAACAGATGAAAACAAAATTAATTTTATAGTAGTTACCATCAGATTTATCTTTATTAGATTGTGCATTTAACAAATCACTRTGAAGACATTTGTATGCGGCACTAGTTTTATATGAAGGGTACTTCATTGTAAACTGATCTAAATACATTTTAGAATCTTTTAACTTATCCAATTCGTACAGACATACTGCCAACCGGAAATGTGCTTTCATATGGTTAGGTTCCAGTTTTAATGCATCAACACAGTCCTTGAGAGCTGCGTAGAAGTCTCCATGCCACTTTCTTTTAATATAGGCTGCAGCTCTATTCGAAAACAGTACACTGCATTTATGAATACTTATAGCTTCATTATAAAGGTTAATAGCAGCAGTATAATCTTCTTTTTCAAATAAATAATTTGCCTGTAAATTATAACATTTTTATTTATTTACTGTATTATAGTGAATATATATATATAATATATGTGATTTATAATGTAAATTGTTTACCTTTAATTTTAATTGAACTACTTTATCTGGTAGTGTCAAATGAGGAACAGGAACAGGATCATCTATTAAATCTGTAGAAGAACCTTCCCCGTTTTCTCCTTAAAATTTACAAATGATAAAATAACATATAAACTTTATAATTGTATAAAGAAACTTACGAGGAACTTTCAAAACTTTGGGAATATTGAAAAATGCATTATCAGCTCGATTTGCTAAGTTATATAAATATACATATTCCCCACCATAATTAACCAACAACTCTTGTCCATCAGGACTAAAAGTCAAATAAGTAATAACATAACTTTTTTGTCTTCTGGGTATTGGATCATTGTCATTCAAATGGATGTGACCCGGTACAAAATATTGAAGTGCAYTGTTAGCATCATTTAAAGCAGCATTATACTCGGAGACATATTTTTTAGGATATGGATATTTCAAGGCAAATGATGACAGCGATTGAATCATTCTGCGGTCATACAATCTCACATATTGATCATTAGCACCAACTGCAAGCTGCTCAGTTCTAAGTTGGTTAATATCTAGACATTTAGCTTCTATCTTTTTTCCCAAATCACCATATACAGTGACCAAAGTAGTTTTAGATTTACCGTGAGGACATTCATGGCTAATTCTCATATCATGTTGACTGTATGAATATCAACAAATAATCATTGTCAGTGTTAACATTATTATAATAATATGATAATATAAAAGCTAAATTTAAAAAATAAAATCATTAACATACACATTCACTATATAAACCATACCTAATGCATCCATCCTCTGAGGCACACCAATAAACACTAGGCGCATCATTTGCTACAGCTAAACGTTTGATTCGTCCTTGAGAACAAATGCAACTGGTTAATTGTTTACCTGTTGTTACATTATATGTATGTGAACTCCAATCACCAGCTCCAGTTGCAACTATATSATCGTTAGAATTAGGTATAAACTATATATGAAAAAAAAAATCAATATAATATATTACAATACAACAAAATAATAATATCTATTACATACAGTTTTTAATCAAATTGTTTTTTTTTTCATTTTTAATAACTAAGTAAATTTACTTTATTTGCTAATAGAATGTGACTACACACAAACCAAAGTGAGTCGAAGGCTGCCAGTGCCTAAAACCTTACTCCTCAACTTCAGTTGAATGTGCAAAGTAACTACATTCTCTCAGTAAGACACTGCTGTGTTAAATTACCTTGACAGAAAATATGTTGCCACGGTGTAAAGTTTTAATAGTAGTTTTAACTTTCTGTAAAAATGGATCCCATAATATTACTTGATAGTCATCAGATGCTGATGCTAAAGTGCTGAAAAATCATATAATAACCCTTAATAAAAAAGTTACGCTTTAATAATTATAAATTTTATAAAATTAAAATTATTGATACTTTAAAATACATATACCTTCCATTTTCATTCCATTGGAGGCAATTAACACATCCTTGATGTCCTTCTAATTGAGTAAGTAGTCCAAGTTTTGAAATACATTTGTAATTCAAGTTACTTTTTAATGCATACTTTGTGCGAATGTGATCCTAATCATCAATCATAATTTTAA